AATGTAAATTTTATGTTGTCAGTAACTCTGAGGTCTTGATTCTTGAGTCTCAGTAACTTGTACAATCTATGTGTTTTCATCTGATCTATCCATATGTTTGAATAAATGCATTAATTAAAAAGTGTCCAGAGAGGAATTTCTCTGAAAGACAGTGTGGTGCTATTATATGCATAGGAAAGTAAGTATTTAGAAGGATTCTAAACTACTTTTCCTTTCACAGAACTGGTTTCAGTCCTAGTTTGTGGCTTTAGATCTGTGTTATCACAAGTTACTAGTACATTATATTTTATAAACCTATGATCATGTGTATGAGTAGTTTCTTCATGTTTAAATTGTTAGAAACCTCTTTAGATATTTAAAACAAGTGATATATTGTTGAAAGTGTAGTCTAGATGATGTGTAATGATATTTGACCTACAGCTTATGTTTTTTTTTTCCTGAAAAGGACATCTTTTCTAAGACATGACAACAATGTGGTTTTTACATATATCTAATAGTACAGATTTCATATCAAATTAGTACTTGTTGACTTTGCTGAAGGCTATCCAGTATTACATATTGCATTAGTATGGATTCTCTGAGAAGCAGATACCAAAATGGGAACAGAAGTGCAAGAGATTTGTTGGATGAAACATTTTCCTGCCTGCTAGGGAAGCTGGGGAGGGAGATGGATGAGGCTGAAACAGATGATTGAGGTGTAGCTCTGACTCCTAAGAAGGAGAGATTCACGGAGCGGGGAGGTCTTGGACGGTAGTATGGTTCTAAGGGAGTTTTGGAAAGTTCACTGATGAGTCCTCCAGCTAAAATCCTCAGGGCAGAGGAGTTTGTAGGGAAGAGCCTGCCTAAGAATTCCTTCTGTGCTCAGTCATTGGCTGGGAGCAACCCTAGGGAAGTATGGCCTGTGGGTAGAATCAGGGCACAAAAGCTGCTGTGCTGGGCCTGAGAGGTGCATTCTTATGACAGCAGTGTATGTAACTAGTAGACTATTAAATGTTTTGTTGAATGATGCCCAGTCATGGAAAACATTTCACATAACCCAGGATAGATGAAAACAAAGTTTGTATTTCCATAGAGTCAGAAAGCCAGACTCATTCAAATGATACCTTTTATCTCTTTATTGATGTGTCTGTTTTTAGATCCTAGGATGAAGTTATGAATTAAATAGATTACAAGCACTTATATGGTTTGTAAATAGTGTGATCACCAGAGATTGTGATGCACATTTTAAAAGTATGCACTGCACTTTGCATAAGGAAGGCTGGTTCCTAGGGTTTCCAAACTTCCAGAAAAAAGCAAAAGAAGACAAAGACTTGGAAAGAAAACTACCATGATTTGAATGTCATATATAGAAACTGCCTTGAATGTGATGCCTACAGTGAATCCCTTTCAAGAAAAATAGCCCTTGCCCTCTGTTATACATCCTGAGTCAGAGGTCTATGAACACCAAGAGGGTGAGCTACAAAGTTATATTAGTCTGTTAGGTCAGGCTGGTCTTATAGAAAGCTTTGAAGTGGCCCTTATTACTAGGTCCAAAACCTCAGTGTTCGGAATAAATATTTTTTCAATATAAGAGAGCAAGGTCTAACTGAGTGTCACTAGTGAGCATGTCTTATTACTGTTGCATGACTGGCTTGGTGGACTCTTTCTTTGCTACAGGTAGTCTCATCTCTGGCAGAGTACAAACACCCTTCCTTTCTTCCATTCAGGCTTATTTCCCCTTCTCTTAGCTGCTCTAAAAACATTAGGAATTTGTTTTAAGTGGTAACCGTTGGCCATTGGACTTTCACCAGTAAGATATGAAATAGCGTAAGTATGATTTCAAAGAGTACTTGTTGATATTTTCTTTAAAATAGTTTTATCTTATTAGTGTGTATTTATAGTTTATAATATTACGTGTTTATTATTTTAAAGAAATGGAACATGGGAATTAGGATGAGAGGGATTAAATAAGAAAGTAGATTCACAGAGAAGTGGATGAGTATAGTTGACACATATTAGACTTGGCCAAAAGATGGTCCTATCTGGCCTCATCTTCCCACACAGTGGTGATTGGCTTGAGCACAGGGCACAGGGCTTGTGTGGCATTCCAGGAAGATCCAAGGATGCCGTCATAGAACATGGATCAAAATCTGAGCCTTCTAAACAAATGAGGCACCATTTCAGAGGGCTCAAAGCTAGCGAATTCATCAAGAAGCCACAAGAATAGAGATCAGAAAACCAGGCTGAAGTAAAAAAGGTTTGAAGAAAAATATGATAGTAGAACAGTGGAATTTTCTCTTGCCTTGAATTGTGTCACCTCAAAATTCATATGCTGATGATATTAGGAGGGAGACCTTTAGAATATCATTAGGTCATGAGGATGGAGTCCTTGTGAAGGGGATTAGTATATATATATATATATATATATGTACTACACTCCCAGAGAGAATGTGAATATGTGAAAAGATGGCTGTCTTGTAAGCTAACCTTTCACCAGGCACTGAATTCTGCTTGCCCATTGAAATAGGACTTCCCAGCCTCCAGAGCTGTGAGAAATAAGTATTTGTTATTTTATAAGCCAGGTTTATAGCATTTTGTTACAGCAACCTGAGAGGGCTAAGACAGGCAAGAATGGTGCTATCCAAGGTACTAAACTAGGATAAACAATTGGAAGAACAGGTGTCACTTTTTTTAGGTTGAGATATAATTCACATGCCACACATTACTTACTGTGTCCAATTCAGTGGTTTTTAAAAGCACATTTAAGTGAGTTCATAAAACACAACCATCACCACAACTCATTTTTAATGTTCACCACAGGAGAAAAATCCATGCCCATTGGCTCTCACTCCTTGTTTCTTCCCATTTCCCTTAGACTTGCTTTTTCTATGCATTTACCTGTTTCAATTTTTCATATAAATGCAGTCATACAATAGGTGATGTTTTGTGTGTGGCTGCTTTTAGTCAGCATGATGTTTTTAAGGTCTGTTCATGTTGTGGTATGTGTTAGTACTTTGTCCCTGCTCATTGATTAATAATAGTTTATTATTTAGACATACTACACTTTATTTTTCCATTCATAAGTTGATGGACACTTGGATTATTTTGGGGGGGCTGTTGGAAGTAATGTTGCCTTGAGCATACATGCATATAGTTTTGTATAGCCATATTTTCATTTTCATGAGGATATAACTAGCTGTGGAATTGCTAGGTCATAAGGTGTCTATGTTTAAGCTTTTGAGAAACTGACAGACTATTTCTAAAGCAGCTACATCATTTGATCCACAAGCCAACACTTGCATTGTCTGTCATTTTGATTCTAGTTATCCTACTGCTTGTGAACTGGTATCTCATTGTAGTTTCCATTTGTATTTCTCTAATGGATAAATACTATTGAGCATCTATTCGTATACCAATTGGCTACCTGCATGTTTTTTAGGGAAATAGTCATTGAGATTCTATGGCCATTTTTAAATTGGATTGTCTATTATTATTAAGTTGTAAGAGTTATTTATATATTCTAGTTAGATAAATGTTTGCAAATATTTTCTTGCATTGAGTGAAATGTCTTTTCACTTTTTGACAATGTGTGTCCTTTGAAACAAAAGAGTTTAATTTTTCTGTGACATTGTCTCACTATGTAACCCAGTCTGGTCTTGAAATCACAATATTCCTGCCTCAGCCTCCTAAGTACTGGGATGGTGGTAGCATGAGCCACTACACCTGGCTGAAAACTTAATTTTTAATATTCATTTAGTCCACTTTTTCTTTTGTTGCTTGTGCATTTGGTCTGATACCTTAAAAAGCCAGTGTTTAATCTAAGGTTGTAAAGAGTTACACCTATGTTTTCTTGTAAGGGTTTTATAGTTTTAGTTTTTATATTTAGCATGTGATTCATTTTAAATTATTTTTTATATTATTTTCATGTGTCCACCCATTTGTTCTATCACTGTCTATTAAAAAGACTATTCTTTCTCTCATCGAATTTTCCTAGCATGCTTTTTGACATGGGTGCCATGCTTTTTTTCAGCAAGTTTTAATTTGATGGCTTGTTACCAAGTTAAAGCTGATGTTATTGTTGCCAATAAATGATTTGCTTACAGGCAGTTGCATTTTACAAATGTATTTTATACTATGTGTGCATAAAAGAATTGCCTGTAATGGAGCAAAGTATACCAGAGCCTATTTGGGTGAAGCAGCCAATATAGTCTGTTGTCACTTAACATCAAGAGCATGTTCTGAGAAATACACCATTGGGTGATTTTGTCATTGTGTGAATATTATAGTGTGCACTTGCACAAGCCTAGAAGGTCTAGTCTACTACACACCTGGGCTGTATAGTATAGCCTGTTGCTCCTAGGCTACAAACCTATATAGCATGTTACTGTACTGAATATTATAGGTAATTTTAACACAATTTGTAGGGTTTTATGTATCTAAACCGGTTTCTTTGTTTTACATGAGAATCAAGACAAACACATGAGTTGTGTTGTGACATACATAGTGGCTATGATGTGACTAGGTGATGAGAATTTTGGTGGAAATTTGTTAGCTCTACTATAATCTTATGGGATCACCATTGTATGTATGGTTTGTAGCTGACTGAAATGTTATTATGTTGCTCATGACTATATGTCTGTCCAGGTAGAAATAGGACCCTGGATTAGGTGTCTCCCAAACCAGTACTTCTCACATTTTAATGTGAGTTTGAACTCCCTGCAATCAGATAGATGCTTATTCTCCAGGCTAGAATCGAGTCTGAGATTCTATGTTTCTGACGTGCTCCAGGTGACACAACTGCTGCTGGTGCTGATCTTGGGCCTTCACTTTAAATAACAGTGTAAGAGAGATTGTATCTGATGCAATTTAGAAGGAAAATAAAACAAATAGTTTGAATTCATTTTTTTGTATTTTACTTATTAAACTTTGTGAACATCACCATGCAAATAGAAGTTTCTTCCTGTGGCTTTTTTTTTTTTTTTTTTTTTTTGGTTGCCAGTCTTGATTTTTCTCTCTTTTAGGCCTCTGATGATTGTCACTCAGAAGATCACAACGTTGGCTTTCCAAGTTCATGATGGTGAGAAAAACGACCTCCTTTTGGTTCCCAGAGTGAGCCTGGCATTTCAAACTCTTTTTTTTTGTACTGGGCATACAGTCCAAAATTTAGACAAATGCTGGCCTATCTTGCTTTATCTTGTTCAAAATTTCTGGGCCTCTTTAATCATAGCCTTTTACTTTTCTAGATACCACCCACCATTTCCCTGGTGAATCTATGGTCTAAATTTGCTGAAATATTTACTTCAAGAACAGTGGGTTTTCTGTTTGTTTTTACAATGTCCTAAAGTTAATTTGCTGTTTGACCTTCATTTCCAAATCTGTTAAGAAAATGGCATCTTTTTTTTGCTTTGGTTTAATTTCTGGAAAATTTACAAGGCAATAAAAAATTACACAGCATTGATTGGTTAATCATGTTAGTTGTTTATTTGGGGGGGAGGGCTGCAAAAATTACCTAAGAGATTGGCTTGACCCAATAGAAGACTCTTCTGTTTGTATAAAACTGGACATGAATTTCACTTAGGGTCTTCCTAGTAATGGCCAGAATGTATGATTTACACTGCTAAAAGGATGTTCCAGGCAAGGGAGGACCGTTACTCCAGCAGGGCAGAAAATTCCAATGTGTGTTTAAGAGATGCCAGGTGCATTTAGTACAAGTGCATTCTGTGGATTTGTGCTGCTCTGGCAAATACTTTCAACTGCTGAGATTTCTTTATACGTTGACAGGTTGAGAATATTTATCTCCAGCAGCTAATTTTTTTGTTTTTACTTAAAGCTCGGGAACTGATTTAATTTCATTGAACCCAGCTTGGTAGTGGTTCTAGACTCATGCTAGTAAGAACCAATACTAAAATCAGATTGCCAGATATGTACTATTTGTTGGGATCTTAGGGGGAAAAAATGAGTGTTTTTATAAACCAGATTTTTGCCTACATTTACTTTTTTGATAGTACTGGGGTTTGAACTTAGGGCCTCATACTTGCTAGGCAGGTGCTCTGTCACTTGAACCACTCCACCAGAACATTTTTGTGTTGGGTATTTTCGAGATAGGGTCTTGTGAACTGGTTGCCCAGGCTGGCTTTGAACCATGATCCTCCTGAGCTCAGCCTCACGAGTAGTTAGTATTATAGTTGTGAGTCGCTAGTGCCCAGCCTAAATTTACTTTTTAAAGTATTGCCAGTTTGCCATATTTTCTGGAGTACACCTTGCATGCAACAAAGTGTTTATTTGCCTTTTTTGTTTCTTATGTGTAGGCGGGAGTATGAAAATTCTGAGATACTCTGCCTTCTCTTAAGCACATTTTTGCATTGCCTTCATGATTGGTAACCATAACCAGTCTTGGCTGAATAGGCAGCTTCAGACTCCACTTATATTGCTAATAAGATAACACTTCAGTTTACTTGACTCCAACCTGACATATAAATTTTATAGCAAGCACACATGAGATTTGATTAGGAGTTTGTCTGTTATGGATGGATTTTAAGAAAAAAAAAAAAAAACCCTTTGTGTTTTCCTTGAAGTCAGGGTTACATTTCTTCTGCTGTTTGGAAGACAAAAGTCTCTGTTCTTTCTCCATTATATCCATGCCATACCTCTCAGCCTGTAGCAGGTATTGTACCTGGCATAATCAGGGAAGTATTTAAACTGCTGCAGCCTATGAAAGGCAAACTTATTTCTGTGCTATAGCTATGAAATCATACGTGGTAAGGAACTGCCAAGTGGAAGCAATGGGGAGTCTGTGTCATACTACATGAGTTAAGTAAGAGTGGTTATAGGAATGAATGCTTATAGGAAACTGCAGAGATTTTCCTTCTTCACATGTACATATGGATAGGACCTTGCCCAGGACATCCCTCCATCCAGTGCTGGGAGTTGAACTCAGAGCCTTATTTATGCATGCTAAGCCTGTGCTCTGCCACTGAGCTATAGCCCAACCCCTTATCCCCAGGGCTTTTTTTAAAAAAAATGAAAACCTGGGATTCTTTATGATTTATGAAGGGAAATAGTTGACCTTTTTCAAATGAGTTTGGTAAGGTTCTCAAGATTAATGACCTACTTCACACATCTCCTTTTCATTTCTTTTTCTTTTTCATAGGATTAGGTCGAAGAACTGAAGACCTCTCTGCTGAGCAGCATCGGCTTGCCTTGAAGTAAGTTAGTAATATATTCTCAAGCCCTTTGCATATCAATATCTAGGGATTTTCCTCATTTTTTAGATATGATATTGTTTGCTTAATAAGTCAGCTGTTGATGGACACTTGGACTATCTTCTAATCTTTGTTTTTGACAAATAACAGGCAATGGATAACCTTGTACATAGGTAATTTTTAAGTATGTTTAGGTTTAGTTGAAGACAGTCTCAAAAGTAGGGTAGTTAGATTGAAAAGTAAATGGATCTGTAATTTTGTTGGTTTTATGAGGTTCTCCTTCATCTGGACAAACACTCTAGTTATTTTTCTTGGATTTGTGTCCGGGACCTTGAGCAAACAGTTTATCATATCATATCAGTGTGTTTAAGTCCCCAAAGCATGGAAAAAGATAGAAAGCAGGGCAGGAGATATGAAGGGATGGAAAATAGGAGGAAGGCTGAAGGTAGGTTTTGGCCCATGTGGTTGTACAGTGGTCTTAGAGAGGAAGGTGAGGCTCACTAAAGTAGGAAGAGAATAACATTGATATGGGAGTTAAAATTGCATGTGGGTGGCTCACTGAGGGGACCAGAGCAGCCATGGCAGGTGTTCTTGTTGGAGAGTATCAGGAGGTAACTGGGATCAGCAAGGAGAATTCCAGGTGCTGACAGAGAACACATTCTTTTCATTAAGGAATGGAGATTTGGAAGCAGTGGAGTACTATTGGAAGATTCCACTGAGTCAAGTCCTTTGCTGAGCATTTTGGGAGTCTAACCAATAAAGGGCACAGTTCCAGTGACTTGATTAGCAATGGCATTTCAGGAAGCTTTTCCCCATGATTACATCCTGCTAGAAGAACAGGTTTCCAAATGCCATGGAAACATTAAGCAGGACCTTTATCTCCAGGTTTTTGTCCTTGCCACTACCTTGGTCTGTTGTTCAGGACCTTGTGCCTGGATGCCAAAGCAGACAACAGACTGTTACAGAGCTAGTTTTGTGTGGCCTCGTCAAAGTGGAAATTGGTTCCACCCATCATTTGTTTTCTATTTATTTTGGCAGCTGGGAGGAAGTGTTTCCATTTCAGAGCTCTCCATCAGCTAACATTGGGTCAGGTTCTCACCCTGCCTTATGTTTATTACCTTTATTTTGTGCTGTAGACAGATAAGGATAACCAGAAAAGAGCATTTCCAGAGTAGCTTTTGTTCTAGAGCCCACCCTGAGTGTTCACAGCTGTCACCAGCAGGGGGCGCCTCCGAGTCCTGCACTTCCACTGACCATCTGCCTCATTAGCTTTTCCTTTCTGCAAGATTTCTCTCTTAGGTGGATTTTGTAGAAAACAGAACAAAGAATGGTCTTGTCATAAATAATAGTCTGCAGAGATAATTGTGTTTATGATTTTCTTGTTTGCACATTTTGAAGAAAAAATAAAAACACAAGAGTTTTCAATTTTTAAATTTTGTTCATTTTCACAGAGTGAAGCCCTCTTTTTTGGAATATTCAAGCTACCTTCTCAATTTCATGAGTGTCATAGCTGGCCCTTGTAACAATTTCAAGGACTATGTAGCCTTCATCGAAGGGCGACATATACACATGAAGTTGCTGGAAGTGAACTGGAAGCAAAAAGATTTCCACAGCTTGCCAGATCCTTCTCCCACTGTAAGTGTTTATTGCCACGTGTTTACTTAGAGGTTCAGAGAATAGGATTTGCTGCCAGGAATGACTTTCAGTAATAATTGTTACAATTAAAAAACCATGGATTAGGCTGTAGCTTTCTGGGCATGCTTGAAGCCCTGGGTTCAACCTCAACTTCAAACAAATAAAAAAGCCAAATGGTTTAACCAAAATGTTGGTCAATAACTCCCCCCCCCCACCATTTGTTTAAAACACTAGTATTGGTACTCATTTACAGTCATTTTCTGTGTTGGATCGCTTAGCTGGAAGCCTGGCACTGAGCCCAGCACTTTATAAATATTCATTCATTTAAGCCCCAAGCCATCCTCTGAGGGACATGCTATTTCTATGCCATATTATAAACCAAAGCCTGCTTTTTTGAAGTTAGAAACTATAGATCTATAGAAAGACATCTCCTGGAATGTCAGAAGAACTGGGCAAAATCCCTCTGTCCAGAGGAATTTAAAAAGCCAACAGATCTTCATCTCAGAATAGACTACAATCTGAGCCAGCCTGGAAGGTTGAAGCTATCTATTACCTACCCATGAACTGGCTCAGGTGTTCAGTCACTTGCACAGCATCTTTCATACCTGAGCCTCTGTCCTCCTGGCTGGTGACTCAAGCCCATTTCCTGGGCTCTGCTGGCTGTAGAAGTAGAAGGCAAATAGTTATTTTTTTTTTCTGATGGAAAGTTGCACCATGTAATGTTACCCATTTCTCCTATGCTTTTGATAATAAATCCACCTACCTTCTGGTGGTAGATTATGCTGAGAGACCTTTTTTTCCATTCTGATACATTCACTCCTTGAATATCAGATGTGTGTCCTGCCTGTACGTGCAGCATCTGAGCCTCATCTTCAGCTTTGTGTCATGAGGAAGAGCACCACTGCCCCTCCTTGTGGGGACTAATGCGTTAACAGCTTGTTGGTGCACCGTTGACCTGAACATACATTTGCCAAAGCTGATGTCCTGATACCTGAGTCTGCTGAGTGGTTACACTGGTTTTTCCCCCCATTTTCAGGGAGCTGTGATACACAAGTTGTATGTCACCTTGGGGTCTCTTCTTTTGTTTTTGACACTCACGAAGTCCTTCCCTGTCACCTGCCTCGTTGATGACTGGTTTGTTCATGAAGCAAACTTTCTGGCTCGACTCTGCTACTTATATGTTGTCATGCAAGCCTCAAAGCCCAAGTATTATTTTGCATGGACATTAGGTAAGTTTGATGGAGTAACCCTACATGAATGAGGAGTAAAGTGATACTCCTTGGATGGCTTAGCCAGAACCACATTTTGGATCACACATACAAAAAAAGTCCAACCCGTAATGGGAAGCATTAAAGCCAGTGTCATTTTTTACTTCCAACGTAGCACTCTTCTTTTCCAACCTCTATAAGCTCAATTTTCTGTGATAAGAAGGAAAAACAATCCTGGTTGCTGTTTAAACTCAATGTTATTAAAAGATGTCAAAATTTGGAAGCTTCTGCTTCCACCAATCAAAATCGGCCAGTGAGTACAATGGAAAATTCCAGAACGGTTGGGTTTTCTTGTAATTTTGGAGGGTTGTATGTAATAGAGGAAGCATGGTGAATTAATTTTACCATTCCATATGCTAGTTTAGGTCTGTCGCATTTTTTTAAGAAAATGTTGGTTCAACTATGTTTTGGAAAGAAACTAACTTCAAGTGTTTTCATTTTTCTAAGGTAGAAAGTTCAACTTCATTTGGTTTTTATCATACTTTTTTTCCCATTGGGGCAATTTGGTCAAAATTGAACTTTTATTTCCTTCCTTTTAAATAATTTTAGACTGGAGTTGTTTGAAGCCTTGCTAATGTGAACCTTTAAGCCCTCTATATACTTACCAAGACTGGTGAAGGATTCTGAAAGTTTAGTATCTTAGCTTGCATTTGACATCACAGAGCAGGGAAGCCTTCTTTTTATTTGTTTGTTTGTGAGACAGGATCTCAATATGCAGCTCAGGCTGGTCTTAAACTTATGATCAAAGTATTGGGATTACAGGTGTGACTTGCCTTCCTAAATCAAACAAATTATTCAACTCAGTTCCTCGTGTTTAGTCCTTATCCTGTGGATGAAGGAATAGCACTTAATTGAGTTCCTCTTCTCTTACTTAGTTCATGCTTCAGGTTTTAATTTCCAAATTAAAATTTGCATGTACCAAGTTACTTTCTTTCATTTATTATCTTATGGTGGTAAAATATACGTACTATGAAATTTACTCTTTTAAGCATAAAATTCAGTGGTATTAAGTTCACTCATTGTTGTAAAATCCACCAGCCATCTCCAGAACTTTCCATCACCCGCAAACAGAAACTCTGTCCATTTAACAACTCCTCATCCCCTCCTCTGGGTATGTTTAAAGGCCAGACTGTTCATGCACATTCAGTCCAAAGCAGTGCTTCCTGCATTCAGGCAGAGAAATCTGACTCAGAGCCGTTCTAAAATTTGCAATGTGCGTTTTGTTTCTGGTTACTTTCAGTTTAATTCAGACGGTTTTGTTGAGTGCCAGGCTTTGGGCCTGGCTGAGACACCTTTTCTCTCTCTTTTCTCCCCACACTCTTTGGGAACACAGACATGTATACAGCCAGGCAATGCTCGTGAAGAGCTGTCGCAGTGACTGGAGTGCAGACAATGATAATATGCAGTTGTCATTGCGAAAAGCTTCCAAAGTCTCCTTTTATCTTATTCCTTGTTCTGGTGTTGCTTTTTACTTAAAAAATGATGAGATCTTTAGTAGCTAGGCATTATACTATGGTGGTTGAACCTCTACTTGGAACACTGGGCATGTCGCTTCTTTATGGGAAGTAGTTAAGTCTTTTTCTTTGTTCTAACCTGTGAGTGTATGCGCGCGTGTGTAGCAAAGAGAATGAGAGTGGATGTATCTCTCCCTTTTACTGCGTCTCCTTCCTCACTTACCTTGCTTTTCTCTCCTTCTCTCCCTATCCTTCCCACTCCTGTATTTTGTATCCCAGGGCTTACAGGGCTGGCCTTCGACTAAATCAGCTCCTGGTTTAAGGAGGAAAGAAAGGCCATTCCATGGCCTCATAGGGAGTGTCTGACATGAGGTGGGTTGTGCTGATGGGGTCTGGGTTGGGGGGTAATAGGGCAAGGGGGTGTTTGCATCATTTTGACTCTTGGGAGTTCCCCAGTCATTTGTAGTATAAAAGTTATCATTTCATGGACAACTTTCTCTGTGAACTGAGCTCTTTCTTTTCTGACTTCTCTGCCCTTTTCTTTATCTTTTTTTGGTTGTTTCAGTAGAAGCACTTCATTAATTTGCATAGCCTCAATTTGAAGTTTGTTCCAGTTTAGATTGCATGGCTGGTCAGAAATTAACCTTTGTATTATTTATGAATGGAGAAGCAGTGAATAGTAGATCAGGGAATATTTAAACTGCTTAACCGAATAATTGTTTTATCCAGCTCTTTAAAACACCACTTACATATAATTGATGTACTAATTATACATGGTTATAAATTTAATCCTTAAAACTGGCCTCTGAATGCATTTCAGCTGAGCTCAGCTGAGTTCCATCCCTGGAACTCCATACCCTGTGTTAACCTAGCTGTAGTTACTGTTTATATTGAAATAATAAAACTATTTCTTTGGACTTAGCAAACAATTCTGGTTATTAATAGTTATTTAATTAATACATAACTAATTAATTAGGACTAATTAATTAGATAGGGTCAACTGTAACCCAAGCTGTGTTCTAAGGACACAAACTCCAACATATGGATGTCCAAATTAATTTGTCAGTACTAAGAGGTTAGAGCCATGCATAATACCAGGAAAGCTAATTTTGGACTGATGAACTCAGAACCTCTAGCCACTCAGGGACAAAAACAAATCTTGGATAATCTATTGCAGATACGCTACACTGACTTCATCTAAATAGGGTGCTTCAGAGAGTTAGTACTTTGGCTCATTCATTTGTCTTGTAGAGTGGCTCTCAGCTCTTCAGGGTGTGGAATCAGAATTCTAGCACTCAGATTCTGGCATTGCTTACCTAATCTGAGTGGACTGGAGGTTTATCTAATATCTCTAACCTCAGTCCCTTTCAGAGCTCAGTTAGAGGGGCCATAATAAGTAATAATGGCAGCCAGCTTTTCTCGAGTGCTACTTTAGGTCACATACTGTGTTATGCAATGATACACATGATTAATTTTGTTGTATCCTTTCAGCAGCTCTTTAAAATATGTGCCATTGTTATATCCATTTTATACTTAGGGAATTGGTTTCTAGAAGTTTGATACCTCTCCCATGCTGCCAAGCCCACCCTTACTGACAGAAGAGCTGCCCTGAATTTGAGCAACAACATTCCATAGGTTGGGGTCAGGATGGAATATGGAATAAAAAGGGAAAAATACCAGATAGTGCAGGCATTCTCTCTCTCCCTCTCTTTCTCTCTGTCTCTCTCTCTCTCTCTCTCTCTCGTTCTTTCTCCCTCCTTCCTGGTTGCTACGAAAGGAGCTTCTCTTCTCTGCCACTCCCTCCCCACAATGATAAAATAAAAACACTGAAACCATGAGGTAAAATAAGTCTTTCCCCCTCTTCAGTTGTTTTTGTCAGATATTTTGTCAGCAGTGTGAAAGTCTGACTAATACAGATGGTAAGCACACACACGCACACACACACACACACACACACACACACACACACGGAGTTGTCATTATTCTTTTCTTTTAGATCGGACTAGGTGTGGTAGACGTGAAGCTGGAGATGGAAGAAGGACTTTAGGAACTGCTGTGGCTGGCCCTAGCCATAGACAGTTGCTCTGGTTTTAGTTGTCCACACAGACCTCAGGGGCCTTTCTTCTGGCTTAGCTTATCTCTGTCATTTACAAATTTGTTTCCAAACCTGTAAAACCCTTAGGTTCCTTCTGGCATTCTCTCACTTTGGTTTTTTTTTTCTTCTACTGAGTTTCCGTTCAGTTGGCTTGAGAGAATGACACAGAAAGAGTTGGTATTTTTTATCCTTTCTTCTAAAAGAAACCAGATCATTTTACACTGAGGCTAAGCCTAAGATAAGCACCATTAAATCATCAACTACACCAAAAATAGATGGGACAAATATAGAACTGTTCTTTTGTGTGCATGGCAGGGGGAGAGAGAGCCAGGGATGGCACTTAGGGCCTAGCTCTTGCTAGACAAGTATTCAACACTGAAGCACACCCCCAGCCTAGAACAGACTATTTCCTTTAGCAGTTCTGAAAGCTGTCTTGATTTGGACTTGACTTTAATGGGAAGAATACTTATAAGATCTCCTCCAGGTCTAAGACTTTATAGTGATGTGATTTAATTAGTGGCAATTAATTTTCCTTGAAGAAAATATTCAATTACAATTTGAAATCTGATAAATGAAAGCAGAAAATTAACCTTTTGGTTATTATCATAAAGGTTTGTTGAGATCTATATTTGATTACAAAAGCATTTCATTAAGGAATTGATTAGAGACGAAATGTTCACTGTGGGGGAGGAGGGCATTTTTTTATAATCCAGTGAAGTAAATAAAGATGGAAATAGGAGGTTTACAATGACTTCACAATTAGGATGGCTTTGATCATGGTGTCCACATGTCCATTGCAATTGGCCCCAAATTCAAGGCTCTAGCTCTCCTCCTTATCTTGGTTTAACATTTTTCTTAAGTGCACCTGGGCAGTTCCAATTGCTATTCTACTGTCCCTTCATACTTATGTCCGGTGTGAGCTCCAGTTTTTCTTTAAATGCTGGTGTTCCTTCTGACTTAGTGCATCTTTCAGTCAACTCCCTACCTCTTTAGTGACAGCTCTTTATCCTCCATTGGCTCCCTGTTTCTTATGGTCTCTCTGATCATAGGTATATCTTTACTGCTGTCTCCTTCTCCCTTAACATGAAGCTGGTCACTAAATCCCAATGTTTACTTCTTTGTTTTGGTTCTTCACTGCTCACTTAGTCTCATTTTCACATTCTATGAACCATCCAGTACCTTTCCTCTTAGCAGGTGCTACTAAATGGAAGAGAATCAATGAATAAAAATCAACATCACCAAATAGCTAAAGATACATTTCTGGTTTGTAATGAGTCCTTTAAAATATTTTTGGTTTCTTTCCCAAGGAACTTCTACATATCTCTCAATGTTGAAGCTAGACAAATATTTGAAATCTTTTAAAGCAGCAATGTGTCTTTTGTTCTGTATCCTAACTTATTGTTTTAAAAACCACAGCTGATGCAGTGAATAACGCAGCTGGCTTTGGGTTCAGCGGAGTGGATAAGAATGGAAATTTCTGTTGGGATCTGCTTTCTAACCTAAACATCTGGAAAATCGAGGTGAGTATATTATGCTTTTGAATTAAGCTTCCATAGCGAGGAAAGCAAATGGTTTGCTATTTGTGTAGTGTCCTTGAAATCCTTCACCAGAGTGTCTGATGAAAAGCTGCTGTTGGGAATGCCCAGCTTCCTGGACATTTTACATCTTTAGTTTTTTCAATGATACCTACCTTCTTTATAGTTTTAATGATTCAAGGAAGAATGACACCAAAAATCTGCAAAAAACCAGGAAAGTCTGCTGTTTACATTCCTGTTCTTTCAACTAGAAAGTGCAAATGTCATTTTTTCTTATTCACATTCAGTCAAGAACACAGACTGGAGACTCCTGTTTTAGATTTCAATATTGCAAGGGTTTCTGTGGTTCCTTTGGAAACAGTGTTAACCCATTTGTTTTTAAGAAGCAATGTCACAGTGCATAACTTTTAGGCCACTATAAGAGTGAAATTTTTTTCTCTTTTCTATCTTTATTCTTGGACCACAGTTGTCTATGTCTTTATCATCAGAAGCGGTCTCTTTGGGGTCACATCGTTCTTGGCTTTCTTGGCTTTTTTTTTTTTAGCAAAGAAATGCCTGGTTATAGAGCCATTTTTCTCCTTACAGCAATGTGGGGAAGGATGAGTCTTAACATAAGGAAACATTACATCTCTAGCCAGATGACTCGTGTTTGTTGTAGGTTTTGGTTTTCCACCTGCCCCAGGGTAGGGTGCTATTGAAGAGTTTGGGCACAGGGTGTCTATGTTACAGACCAGGAAGCCAGAGAGACTGGCCATCTTCTACCCACATTTGGTGGAAACTAGGCCATGGAAGAGAAAGCCTCCACCCTCTTCCTCCTGAGGCTGTTTGTATTTGGATGTCCAGAAGGAAGGTGGTCTCTTTTCACCTAACAAAACTGAGGGGATCTACAGGGAGGATTAGATTTCTTCTTCTTCTCCTTTCCTTCCTGCTTCTTCATCTCCTCCTCATCCTTCTATTCTTTCTTCTTCTCCTCCCCCTTCTTCACAAATAAATTGTTACTTCAAAAATCAAAAAACCAGAAAGAAATAGAAGCACTTATACCCATTACCTAACCAAATTACATCATACACTCAACTTAAATTCATAGTGCTCCTTGATTATGCAGGTCAATCATATTTTAAAAAGATTGAGTTCCAGCTATGGAAAAGACACTTATTTGGGGATAATTCTGGAATCTGGGGACTCTTGTAGGCAGAAAGCCCTGCCAAATGTGGTAAGAAAATGGCCCAAATCTAGTTATAAGGCTTTTCCCATTGATTGTCTGACATGAGGCAAGAAGCAGTTCCCCATCATGGTGAACCACATCCTCAAGGGACAAATTCCATACTTCACTATCACCTGTCCTTCTTTTTGAAGAGTCTAAGGATAATCTGAAAGTGTCTCTTACATAGATGATGTCACACAAAACCCAAGTGTGTAATGACTTCCCTCCCTATTTCCAGTAAAATTCTTCTCGTCCTCTGAGCTCGTGAAGTACTCCTGGTCACCTTGGAGCACTGTAGATGAATGTCATTCAAAGTGGCTCCCCTTGACTTTTAGCTGCTCACTAGTACACCCAAGTTATGCATCAGAAGACAGAATCCTTCCACTGTGGGCATGCATTCAGAGTCAAGGCCTAGCTATTGGCATGTATTTATTATAAAAGAAAATGAAGAGAAAGATTATATTTTCTTTGTGTTTGATACAGAGCAAGGAGCAAAAGAAAATAAAGATTTCTGATTTAGTTAAAGTAACTTGAAGTTGTGCTTATCAGCTGTAAAAAAAAAAAAAAAACATAAACAGGGATGGAGGCACGGCTCAAGTAGTAAAACACCAGCCTAGCAAGTGTAAGGCCCTGAGTTCAAACCCCAGTACCACACACACACACACACACACACACACACACACACACCCAAAAAATAGATAAGCAAAACTCCTTAGGGTTTGAAATAAAAACCCAATGAAAAAATCTGTCATATACAAACTTATATGAAGAAAATATTTGCAATAGTGGAGCTACCCTATGGAACTCAGGGGAGGAGGGAAAGGAAAAGAGAATGACAGAGCAGCAACAATATCAAAATACATTACATCTATTCAGGTAGAGGATACAATGACATGTACTGAAAGCTGTTGAGTAATGGGGAGGGGAGGGGGGGTAGGGAAGGGGTAAGGGAGAGTAATGGAAGGGGTTGAACGGTTGAACTGACCAAACTAAAGTATACTCAGCAGGGATACATGGAAAACCCCTTTGAAAATTGACTTTGGAATTAATATAAAAAAACAGGACTGCTAAATAGGTACAGAGTGGGGGGGATTCTTATGGGAAGGGGCGATGGTAGGTAAATGGGGGAGATGAAGGTGAGGGCATGTGGTTGATGGGCTTCATATACATATATGGAATAGAATGATGAAACCTCTTGCAATTGCTTTAAGTGAGACGGGAGGGGGTGGCAGGGGGTAGGGAGGGTGGAGGCAATCTAATGTATGATGTAGGCCTATTTGAAATTATCACAGTGAATCCCCCTTGTACAATGAGTATATACCAATAAAAATGAAAGAAAAATCTGTCTATCTATTTAATCTTCTATTTATCTGTCATCTGTCCTCCTCCTCTCTCCCCTTACCTTCTCTCTCCCTGTCAAACAAATCGCATCAGGCCAGTGTGTGACCTATAGAAGATTTTCTTACGGTTGAATGAAACTTCAGTAGAAAAGAAGTAGTACCTTCCTTTCCAGCCTCTTTGGGAATTGTGGTCCTCATGTGCTTGCTCCGTGAGTTTTACAGCAATCCTTGATAAGACTTGTTCATTTGAAGGAGAAAATCATTTGAGTCGACAGCTCATTTTGGGGTGTCTTTCCTTTGGTGGTTAATTAACTCATGTTATTGTCAGTTGGATGATATTTCTTTGTTTTCCTTTCTGTTTTGTAATCCTTTCATGCATAAAACCTCTTACTATTCCAGACACAATTGGAAGCATTGGACCTGTGTATCTATTTATAGGGTTAACTGCACGAGACTGACCTAGTTTATACATGGCCACCAAGCACAAAGATGACAGTTACATTTAAACTCTGTCCATAAAGGTCCTATATTTACGAGATTAAGCTTTTCCTGTGGTAAACTCCCTTTTTAGAGTATTAAGTTTTAAAATTCAGATGACTTAAAAATTTTTTAATTGATGGAAGGAAAGCCCACAGGATGTTCCTTTAGTTTTGCTATAATTTGAAAATAGATTTGAGAGGAATTGAGAGTCTGCAAGCCAGGTTAAGTTGGGAGGAAAATCTTAGAAATACCAGAAAGGTCTATGTACATGATGGAATAGCTGGTTTACTCTCAGCTGTGAGTAATCACTTTTGAAATACCGTATGTAATCTGCCACCAAGGAAATTCTAGGGAGGAGTTTTAAAGCTAATGATAGGTATTATTTTCTTCTTTCTAGACTGCCACAAGTTTCAAAATGTACTTAGAAAACTGGAATATTCAGACATCAACTTGGCTAAAGTGGTAAGGAAAACAAAAATAACCCCATTACTCCTGGCTCTGGGATTCATTTAGATGGGGTCCACTGGGTGAGCAGCAGCAGTCCTCCAGCAGTAATGTCTGACACTTTTGTGTCACCATCTATTCCCCATAAATGAAAAAGTAGAGAGTGATTTGAGAGGGTCATAAAGTAGTGCGCTTTTTAAAAACTCACAGTGCTGCTGTTACTGGGCACCAGTCACTCATTTATTCCTCATAAAAATGCCATGAGATGTTGGTCATTATTATCCCCATTTTGGAGATAAGGAAAGTGAAACACAGAGAGGTTATGTAACTTGCCCCAAGTCACACAGCTAATGAGTGATAAATACCCATATGGGCCTGATTCCTGTGCTCAGCTCGTGACCTCTGTGCTGTGCTGTGCAGCCTGTTACCTCTTTGCTCAGATGTCAGGAGGATCAATGTCAGCATCAAATCCATCATGATTGCTCCATCCTTTCCCAGCACTGAAAGCTTTGTAGTACCCTAGATGTTTATGCCTTTTAAGTTGGTATTTTCATTGTTATTTCTGTTCTTTTGTTTCTAGACATGATCCAAACTTAGAAACAGTACTTATTATGGGACCGATAATATGCTGTCCTTGTAACAGCAAATTCCACCTACTGAATGTGCCTATCATACAGGTGCAAGAAGAGTATAAAGTATTCATCATTAAAGCAGGGTCCATTGTTTCTGTTTGTTTTTTGAGACAGGGTCTTGCTATGTTGCCTAATCTGGCCTTAAATTTGTTCTATAGCCCAGGATGGCCTTGAACTCTCTATCTTCCTGCCTTAGCCTTCCAAGTGCTGGGATTACAGCTGTGCCCTACCATACCTGGATAAATTCCAGTGTTTTTGATGAGTACTGTGTTTCATTGGTCAACCCTTTGGGACAAAAGGAAAAACGATGTATAGCAATTTTTTCAAAGTAAGCTCGTGTTATTTTATGAAAATTAATCCAAACAGGCAGCTTTTGAAATTTTGGCTTTAACATTATTGTTTTAAATTAATAGTGCAAATATTTTAACATAAACATCTATTTCTTTATACTAAGTGATGTCAACACGTTAGGAGTCAGTTTCTTTTAGGATCTTATAGTGTAAGATAACAAAAAACACGTGAGCACGTAAAAAATGCAGAATAATTTTAAAAAATTTTTAGAAATAAAATATTTCATTCATACAAAATGATACAAAGAGCAAGAACCAAATATATAATGTACTCATTCCTCATTTCAAAAAGAAATATTACAAATATTGAAATATTGCAAATGGGGTGTCTGTCCTCTTTCTTCCTGTGAAGAGAGCTATAATGCTGAGTGTGGGTGTGAATCAGTTACTTTTGTACTATCGGTTGTGGGTTGGTAATGACTGCTTGAATTTCTTTTCTTTTCTGTCTGGGTCCTATCTTTGCTAAGCTGTTTGGTAGCTCCCTTAAACTGCCATTGGCAATTTTTAGCCTGGGTTTGGGGGGAAACCCTCTATCACTTTGTTTTAATAAGCAACCAGAGAGCCAAAGATCTTCAGAGCATTTGCCGACGTTTTCTAGATTCTCACAGTACAGGTCGAGCATCCCTAACCTGAAAATTTGAAATCCCAATGGTCCAAGACATGTAAGTTTTTGATTATCATTATTTTTTTGGTGGTACTGGGGTTTGAACTCAGGGCCTTGCATTTGTAGGTAGGTGTTCTGCTACTGGAGCCACACATCTAACCCAAAAAATCTGAAAGTTTTTGAACACCAGCATGATGTCACAAGTGGAAAATTCCACACCTGATTTCACATGACAGGTTGCAATCAAAATGCAGGTGCACTAAAAATAGTGTATAAAATTACCCGCTGGCTATGTGTACAAGGTATATAAACATCCATGAATTTTGTGTTTTAGACTTGGGTCCCAAGATAATTCATTGTATGCAAATATCCTAAAATCTGAAAACAATCTGAAATCTGAAACATTTCTTGAACCAAGCAGTTTAGATAAGGAATATCACTTTTTTTTTTTTGCTTTAGTTTCTCAGGTAGGATTTCATTTTTTTTGCCTGCAGCTAGCTATGGCTTTTAGTTCCCCTACTTCCACCTCCTTCATAGCTGGGTTTACAGGTGTGCGCCACCACACCTGGCTTGTTCTTTGAAAGAGGGTCTCATTAACTTTTTGCCTGGGCTGGACTTGAACCTCGATTTTCCCAGTCTCTGCCTCCTGTGCAGCTGGGGTTACTGGTGTATACCAATCATGCCTGGCTCAACCTATATCACTCCTTTAAAATTTTGTTAGCATGAATTAATTGTACAAAGAGGTTTCATTGTGATGTTTACATATGTGTATATAATGTACTTTGGTCAAATTTGCCCTGTCTATATTACTTTTTTCCTAGCTACCCCTCCCCTACCTTTTAGCAGTTATTAGTAGTTTTCATTATGCTTTTTTCATACATATATATGTAATGTAATTCAATCATATTCACCCCCTGATCACCCTCTCTTTACCCAACCCCTCTCCTGCTAGTCTCCCTCCCAAACACTCTCCCTTTTACAATCATTTGATATTATTATTTAAGGCAATTTCTTTTTTATTATCATATTATTATTGTACTGGGGGTACATTATGGCATTTATAAAAGTGCTCACAATATATCATACTTGAATTTACCCCCTCCATCATTCTCCTTTTCCCCCCTCCCCCCATTCCTGGAATAGTTTCAACAGATCTCATTTTTCCATTTTCATACATGAGTACATAAAATATTAAGGTAATTTTTTGTATTGAAGTCTGATGGGCACCTGCACAGGTCAAATTGATTCTGTGCTGGAGATGAAAAGGGCTGTAGCACTTATTAGATAGATGACGTAGGGTCCTGGTTGGAATGATAAATTAGTATTCGCTAAATGAGAGGGTCCATTTCCTAAGACCCTTATCCTGGTTCCTGAAATTACAATGCAGAAGCAGGTACCTAAGTACCTCTAGTAGATTACACCATTGAGGGAATCAGCTTCTCTGAGGCATGACCTCTTGCCTCAGAGAAGAATGTGATCACCCAGACCTTTATTAGATGTAGTGTGATGGGATCCAGGTTGTTTTATCTAATAAGGTTAAATATTTTTAACATCTCCTAAGAAGGCTGACCTATGAATTGATTATCTGCTGTTGCTCAAGGAAGCCAGCACAGCTCAGGCTGCTGACATTGCTGCAAGTCCCTGAAGAGGGATAGGATGTTCCACATCAGTAATGGGTCAGATGATTTCTGCATGGCCCCCTCCAGATAGAAACAGGTATGGTTGGAAGTGTCTGTGTGTCTACCTGGAGCTTGTTATTCCTTCCTCTCTTCACAGTGTGTGCTATGAGCGGGTTCCATGGTACCCAACGGTGCTAACCTTCATCCTGTCTGCTTTGTGGCATGGTGTCTACCCTGGATACTATTTTACCTTCTTAACTGGAGTCCCTGTCACATTAGCAGCTAGAGCGGTAAGCTTCTTTGGGGTGTATGCTCTTTTCTTTAAGCAATCTGATACCTGTATGTTTGTTGTTATCTTTTAGATCTTAGGAAAACTTAGGGGTGGGGAGGACAGTGGGAATATTTTGAGAAGAATCAAACAATGTATGAAAGTCTTCCTGTTAGAAAAATACGTCAATATATAGGAATGTGTTTTTTAACAAAATAATTAACATTTTGTCTTCCTGTTATTAAAGATAGTGTTTATAAAACAAAAAGTATTTTAGAAGCAATATTTACTACCTAAAAACAGATTATTTTTAATCTTTTAAGACAGTGAACATACACATAGTCTACTATTTACAGATGATGATGGTTAATTAATTTAGGCTCTGTAGGACTTAAATTAGCTTATACCTTTCTTAATTTCTCATTTCTTTATTCTAAGCCTAGAAATAATTTCCACAGTTTCTGAGCTGTCAAGATAACAACCATAGGAACCTCATCTTTTGGAGATGGATCTCCAAAGTTTTTAGGTTCTCAGGTCTGATCTGGTTAACCTAGTTGATATAAAATTCCTTGTGAATTTCATTCTTTAGGGGTTTTTGAGGAACCTTTAGTTTGTCCTAGATTGTTCCTACAATTTTCTTGTTATAAAGCAGACTAATGAAAGAATTGAAAAGGTGACTGTCTTTGAAGAAGATGAGCATGTATAGAAATAATTGTTATTCAAAATGCATTCATTATAGTTTTGCATTTGATCTAATATCAACCCTTGACCATGATTGTGGCTTCCTTATTTCAGATACCAAGAACTTTTCATGACATTTTTTAATGCTTTTTAGATTGAATTTAGGAGTCTTAGTGTAGCTATTCATTCATTCTTTAATTCATTTATTCTTTGACTGTTTCAGGAGCTCTACCATGACCCAGTCAGTGTTGTAGGTACCAGATTACCTCAATGAACAAAGCAAGACCCCTTCCCCTGAGGAATTACTATTTTAGTTAGATGAAAATGTGTTAGAATCTGTATGTGTACAAACTGGATAAGTGATTGTTATTCATGCCGACTAAAACACCTTTAAAATTAAATGTATTTCATCCATATTTGTACATGGGAAACAGGGAAAGCATCTTCTTTTCTCTCATTCGTATGACTACTCAGATAATGAAAGAAAATTAAAGAACAGATGGCCAGAACAAACTAAGAAATAAAGGTCAGAGTTTTGTTTGTTAATATATTCAGAGTATAATTCCTTAAGTTATCCTTAGTCCTATGTTGTCTACTGGCATAAAGTCTTTGAATTATGTAGCTCCTTTCATTGGGAGGGCGTGGCAACCTTCTTACAAGAATTTTAGGTAGGGGATGGAGAGGTGAGAGTTAATGGAGCAGAGCTTCCTTTTCTCCTTGAAGGAGAGTGAACTCAATAGTCACGAAGTCTTGGGTTCCTGGAAGTTACCTAAAATCTCAGACCCAGTGCCAATTCTTGTGTTGGATGGACCCCTGTTCTATCCTGGGAAACTAAGGCCTAAGGAGAGGGGTCTTTAGCTCACCAGGCAATTCTGGACACTGAAACGGTTCCTGCATTGAGATTGAACTGTTTCTAAGCCAGCCATTGTTTTTAGTTCTGTCGTTGATTCTTGAACCAAGAAATTAGGTGTTTTTCTGGAGGCAAGTCTAGTCATAGGTGTCAAAAGACATATAAATCAGTGCATCCTTTGGCCTTTTCCATTTTTATTTCAATGAATTTACTGTTCAGCTCAGTCTCAATTTCCTTATTTGTAAAATGGGAATAATGATACATTAGAGACTTGTGGAAGAATCAACAGAAATGATCTACATAAAGCATTAGCACAGACTTGGTACACAGTGAGCATTCAAGAATGGTTGCTGCTTTTATTAGTAGTAATAGTAATACTATTTGTGATATTATTGCTCAAAGGAAATAATTAGGAAACAATACAGATGTATTTATAAGGGTATGCATTATAGAATTGTTCTAATAGCAAAAGGGGGAAGGATGGCAAGTTAACTTATACATAATTAAAATCATATTGGAGATTAATATTTACAGACATGGGGAAAAGTCCATGATATATTAGATTACAAAATGGAAAAAAAACAGGCTAAAAATATATTGGTGCCATTAAAAAATATAAATGTGGTGACATATAAATAGAGAAAGCTTTATGGGCTTACGTGCCACGTTTTTAAACAGTGCTTTTCTTTGGTAGAGTTAAACATTTTTATTCTTATTTTTTTAAACCTATTTCTTCAACAGTGATGTGTGTACTTTTTTAAATACAAAAAGCCGTAATGATACTTTTAGTTCAAAATCGAACTCAGATGGTTGGTTGTTTTCTATAGCTTGTGTTCTTGTGGTCTACTATCTACATGCATGGAGTAAAAGTTATTTTGTTTTTACCCCCACTTCCCCACTTTTGGCTTCCTTGACTTGCAGGTAAGGAACAACTACAGACGTTACTTCCTTTCTTCAAAAGCTCTCAAGGCTGTTTATGATGTGGCTACATGGGCTGCCACTCAACTGGCTGTCTCTTACACGGCTGCACCCTTTGTCATGTTGGCAGTGGAACCAACCATCAGTTTATACAAGTAAGCTTCCATTGTTCTCAAATGCATCTGTTTTCTGTGTTTCATTTAGGAATCAGTAAATTAAATCAGTGTACTGAGATTGCACTAAGAATTTCTCAATGTGACTTCAAGATGAAAAATGCCCATAGAAGCTTTAAGAGGAAATGACTGTCCCAGAGACACCAACATACAAATATCAATATTTGCAAAGATGGTTGAGAGAAATGCGTCAGCTATTCATATTGTCATTAAAAGGTGCTCACAGCAGTGCATTCTGAAGGAATGGATCCAGGTGCAAACCTAAGAGGGTGAATTTGCTGCCTGCAGCTCTTTTTCCTGAGGATTAAGCATTTTTGGAGATTGTGCGGCATTCAGAGACAGAAATGAGTGCAGGAACTGGAAGCTGCTGACCCCTGGAATTGACTGACTTGCATAGCCTGTAGAAGGGCTCCATGCTGCTCTTTACTAGATCTGTTTCTTGTGGATGAGCATGGGGGATTTATGTTCCAAGATGAACATGGTGGGATGGGTAGGGAATTTAGAATGAAGAAGGAGGCTTACACTAGAGACAGAGGCCTTTTGGAAAAGATTATCAGGCTCTTATAGTCAAACACCTGTGCTCCAAATGAACTGCAGATGACTTGCTTACTTTTCTTGTTTCATGCTTATATTTAATTAGTTGTGCTTTTCCACTGTTGTGAAGGATTTGAACACATGGTCTTGAAATTATGTGACCTTACTGTAAAAGGGAAGCTAATAGAATCTACCTCTAAGCACCACTATTAGGGCTGAATGTTAGAATTGAATGAGGTGAATGTGTAGAAATCTTAGGCCAGTGAGTACTTGGCCTATGACCTATATTCAACAAATACTAACTTGTATTATTTAATGGGTAATGCAGACTTTTTCAGGTTTACTTTTGAATTTAGTATGGGTTTTTAAGTAACTTAGACACAAATAATGCAATTGTTGGAGCTCAGAAAATGATACCCCAAACCATGAGGCTTTAACATAGTGAATGTTTTGAACTAAAGGAGAAACAGGGTCTCTCTGACTCTTTTTTCAGTCTCTTTCCCCTCGTTTCCTCTGGAAGTACAGGAAGGATTCCCTGTGTATTTCCCCAATCTAAAGGCTAGATACTCCAGAAGATTAACCTGCACGAAGAAAGATCAGAATTGATACCATATCCAGAGCCCAGGGGCAACTTTTCCCCAGACCACCATCTATTCTTTCAGCCCTTTTCAGCTCCCCTAAAAATCATTTCCTTTTCCTCTAAAAGTACCCCTCATTTATCCCTCTCCTTTATGAAGAGGATCTTTAAGCTTCAACCATCTGTTTCTTTTTTGAGTTTCATATTTTGTGTGACTCCGGTACACATGGGCACTTCATAAATTTGTGTCTTTTCTCCTGTTAGTCTGCCCAGTGTCTGTTTTTTTCATCAGAAACAAACTCTACACAGACACACCTTATCCCTGAGCAGGGGATTTCCTGTAGTTGATGGGCTGGTCAGGAAAGGATTGAAGAAACTTTCACTACCCCATGCATATGTCAATATCTATAAGTAGGATTTTTTTTTAAGGTTATAGTAGAAGGCAGTAGGGGAAAGTAGACAACACTCAACACTAAAGAGTGTTCTGCTATGTATGTTTTATAGTATCAGTTAGGGGAGGCGAAGCTAGTCAGTACAACATAGAAATTGTACTGGTTTATACACAAATTTTTCTAGACAAAGGATGCTAGAAAAGTAGAAAGAATTATAATCTTTAGACAAAAAAATGAAACCCTCAGTTCAGCAGCTACAAAGGGAGAAGCTACCACAGCTCTATATAAAGAAAATTGAATAGCCCCCTCCCTTTGCTGGGGCTCCCTTAGGGAGGCCCATACTATGTATTGGTCATTTTTCCTCTGTGTCCACCCTCAAGCAGCCCCATGTGCCACCTCACTTTCGTTCCCCTGTGTCAGTGCCGTTAAGTCATCTATTGTCTTTTGCATTTTAACAGCCCCAGAAGCAGCCTTCAGCCTCCATGGAGTTGTCTGCTTGGGTTGTCCAAGTCATTGTCATAGGTGCTGATTATTTTTGTCAGTTCCTTGGTTACAAAATCTCTTAAGTTTGAGTTGTCTGCTTCTAACATGATTTCTTCCCCATAAGCCCTGGTATTCTAAGCACCTGATATTGCCATGCGTGAGACTTTTCAGGAATATACTTATTATGTTATAGCAGAAATGCTTGTATCGAGCTGAGTATCATTTAATACCTACAGTGTGCTGGGCACTGTGCTAAAATCTGGAGCTGCAATGTCAAACAACCATAACAAATCATTCCTGCTCCCGCAGAGGCTGATGGAGAAGACAGGCAATAATTGACAAATTTATAAATACATACTGAGCTTGTGCTGCGAGTGAACAGGTCAGAACTATATGAGTGCGTGTAACAGGAGTCTGGCTCAACCCGGGTTAAGGGGTGGATTTGGGGAGGGAAGAGGCGTTTGGGCTCAGCACTGGAGGCTCCACGGAGGGACTGAAGCAGGCACAGTGTGTGTGTGAGGGCAGTGGGTGAAGAAGGACATTGTGAGCGCTGCTCTGAGATGAGAACAGCATAGAAAAGTCCTCAAGGAAGGTGGAAGCTCCAGGCTGTGAGCACAAGAGAAACATGACTATGAGAAGAACATAGAATCCACAGTGGACAGTGGTGAACTAAAGGAGGAGAGGGTTAAATACCGTATCCTTGTTTATCATCTGAGGGAGTGGGGCTCAGAGAGGGTGTGCAACTCACACTGCAACTAAGCACTAAATCTGAGTTTCAAGCCCAAAGTTCCTTTAAGGGTAAGATCGGTAGTGCGATTACTAAAAATTTCTTTAGGAGAAGCTATCTTGCAAGCAAATTACTGCTTACAGATCAAACTAATTTAAAAGCATGTTTGTGATAACATGCATCTAAGCAGCTAAGTATGTGCTAATTCCTGCACTTAGGCAGGGACTCAAGGGCAGAATCACATTGATAACAAGCAAATTTTCCTTTCTTTTAAAAATAATCTAACATATTTTAAAAAAACATACCTTTTTTGCGAATGAAACAATTTTTTTGTCAATTTGGTCCATTAAAAATAATCTAAACCAATGTTATCTGGATGTATATGTGTTATTTCCTGTTTAGATCAGCTCTGTGCAGTAGAAGTTTCTATACTGACTCAAATCCTCTCTATCTGTGCATGAGTTTCCCAAATGTTGGCCATTAAGCATTTGCTATGTGACTGAGGAACTGAATTTTCAATTTTATTAATTCGAATTCATTTGAATTTTTGGCACCCACATGTCACCCTTGGCCTTTATAGATTGATTAGACTTCAAAAAGTGTTTTCAGGGTCTCTTAAGAAAACCAGTGAACCTAGTAAAAGAATCTAAATTCCATAGCCTTGTAGTAAAGGTCAGTCTAGTTGCCTTCTGGATCTGTTCCTCACTGGAGGCTAACTGGCAACAAGTGACAGTTATCCACAAATCCATTTCTCAGTATTACTACCTAATGCTTAAGTTTCTGATGTACTTCATTTTTATGTCTGGTTTGTTTTTTTATTTACTTTTTATTTTTGTGATACTGAGGTTGTAACTCAGGGTCTTGCACTTGGTATACAAGTATTCTACTTGAACCATGCCCCCAGCCCTTTTTCTACTTTAGTTATTTTTCAGATAGGGTCTTTTTTTTTTTTTTCCAGATAAGATCTTGCACTTTTTGCCCAGGGCTGACCTCTGACAGTGATCGTCCTACTTTTCCCTCCAGCATAGCTGGTATTAAAGGCATGTACCACCATGCCTGGCTTGTTCTTGACATAAGATCTTGCTAAATTTTTTCCTGGGCTGGCCTTGAACCACAGTCCTTCTATCTCTTTCCTCTCAAGTAGCTGGAATTACAGCAATGAGCCAATGCACCTTGCCCTCTGGTCTGTTTTTAGTCTAGAGTGTCTTCAAATCTCAACTTTAAATTTCTCAACTTTTTTTTTCCTTTAAATTGTCAGTGAACTCCAAGTTTAATTAACACTTAAATTTGTTATTAACAAATTCTTCTATGAAGTCATTTTGGAAACCAAATTCTCATATATTCCTTTGTCTTTAACTAGATAACACTTTCTTAAATTCAATGTGTAAGAATGTTAGAATGTGTATGAGATTTTGTAGACAGCAAGCTCTTTGAGAGCAGGAACTATGCCCTAGTTATCTTTGTATCTGGAGATCATAGGTCGGTGCCAAGTGTGCACAATAAATACTGAGTCTTTCTATAAGAGAAAAATGAAATGTTCCTTGAAATTTTAGAAAAATATCCTCACTAGGGGATTGAAATTTGTTTCCCTAGGTTGTCAAATTATTTGACTTTGATCTAACATAATTTCTCTCACATGTATTTGGCCACATATGAAAGATAAGGCAAAACACAAAGGCGAAGTATATTTTAGGTGTATAGACTTTGAAAGCCATTGTTACCTGTGTCTAGATTGTGCCTTTGAGAATCCAAATCTATACCTGTTGAACCAGCATGTTTATCTGAGGAGCCCTTTTTTTAATTCTCAATAATGACCTCAAGGCAGTGAATTCTTCCCTTTGCTGTGTACATGACCAGTATCACATAAGTCAGACCTCCGTATCCATGCATTTTGTATCCACAGATAGAAAATATCTCATAAAATTGTGTCTGTACTAAACGTATGCAAACTTTTTTCTTGTCATTATTCCCTAACCAATAGAGTGTAACAGCAGCATTTACAGTGTGTCAGGTAATCATCTAGAGATGATTCAAAGTCTATGGGAAGATGTGCATAGGTTCTATGCACATACTACATCATTTTATGTAAGGGACCTGAGCCTCTGCAGTGGGATGTGTTCATCCACTGGTTGGTTTGCTCTGCCCAGCTCTGTGGCTTCATCCATCCTTGGCCTCCTCACCTACCAAAGGGAGTGACTCGTGGAGAGGATCCAGGCAAGCCTGAGAGCAGCCTGCTGCTACCCCTGAGAGCAGGGCCCTCATCTGCCCTGTGGAAGATGACATGATGATGTGATGTTGCCCACTTGCTTCGTTCTTCAAAATTTAATTTTTATTCGTTTTTATTCCTAGGTCCATGTACTTTTACTTGCACATCGTAAGTCTCCTGATAATTCTTTATCTGCCAATCAAACCACAAACTCATATTCAAAGACAGCCTCAGACTCTGAATTCTGTTAATAAGAAGAAAATGGATTGATACCGCTGAGAAAAGCCGAAAAAAATAAAATGGCAAGACATTGGAAAGATGAAATGAAAAGGCCCAAGGGTTCTTCAGTGACTTACAAGCTATGTTTACATGCATCTTTTTTTTTTTTTTGAACTGCAGGGAGTGTTTTTATAAAGCCTTTTTTGTACAGTTAAATCAGCCATGTCCAGTTTATTTGTCTTAATATTTTATAGGACCTTTCAGTGGTGAATTTCAGAGCTGTAGAGAATGTGCCAGAGCTCCAGAGATACTCCATTCTGGCTGCTCAGCTTTTGCTTTTCTTGATGTCATTTCCAGCTGAAATCTAGAAGCTGGGAATCCAGACACTGGCTCTAGAAGTTAGGAGGCAATTGCTGAGATTTGTTAGAGATTTTTTTTCTTCTTCCTTTACTTTGATTTTTTTGAGACAGTGTCTCACTCTGTAACTTAAGCTGGCCTGGAACTCGCTGTGTAACCCAGGCTGGCCTCAAACTCACAATCCTCCTGCCTTGACCTCCCGAATACTGGGATTATAGGTATGTGCCACCGTGCTCTGCTGTCCTCTGTCACTGATTTCTTAAATCACTACATACCCAGGCATGATTGTTTCTTGGGGAGTTCCAAACCCTTTGCCATGTGACATTGTTGGTTTGTGGACACAATAACTGCACTCAGAAGACCCTGGAGAGGTAGAATCACAGAAAGAAGTTTTCAATACACTGAAAACTCTATGAGTGAGGAGGACTAACCCTGAACACTTGAATGGACTGGAATGTCCTCAAACAGGCTGGTTCCCCCCTTTTCCCACCCCAGGAATGAATTCCTTCCCTTTTTTCCTTCTGAACTGAGCCAAAATCAGAAGTCAGTCTCCTGTGTATGTATACCAGGAGGCTGAGAGGAGTGACTGTTGTCCATTTCACTGCTTTCATCTGCTTGCCCAGGGATGGCCTTGAGAAGACATCCAGATACTCATTCCTTCAAAGGCAGCAGAATGCCTTATAAAGAAACAATATTTTAAAAAGAAAAGTTTTATAGAAGATTGGTAAGAAGAGCAGATGCTTCTCTTCCCCCGCCGTGTCTTGGGGATGTTGATGGTCGTGGCCACGATGTCCACGTGGGTCAGTCTTTGCTTTTCCAGAGTTAGAACTGATCCATTCCAGCTTTGCTTAGTCGAGTCCTCCTAGTAGAGAGCAGAAACTCAAAGACAGTTCTCTGCTCTGTCTTTGTGTGAATGTCTCCTTTTTGGGAACTTCTGTTGGGTAATACTCTATATGGGAGAAGGAAACATAATACTAAATATTGTGGAAAGTAATAACGATGTTAATAATAAAATATATACTGCAATCATGTGCCCTCAACAAGATGGCCTGGGAGGAGAAAATTTGTTCAAAGGTAAAAGTTAGCTTCTCAGTGAATAAATCCTTTGTTTCTATATAAAGGAAATGTTTCTGAATGGAAGGATTACTTTTTTTGTGTGTTAAGTGAGACCTGATATTCATGTGTGTGTGTGTGCATGTCTGTATTTTAACAAATGGGCACAAAGGTAAGGTTTGATTTGCTTAAAATCTGAGCATTATAAAATGCTCAATGTCAGACATTGGTTGGGTTTGGGTTTGGGTTTTGTTTCTGATCTTCATTCCCAACTTTGCAGGCCAGGTTTGTTTTTTCTACAGAAGAGGGTGCTGAGAATTAGAGACTTTTGCTAACAGCCCTGAGCTCACAGAGTTAGTGGCAGGGCTAAAGTTTGAATTCAGCAGTCTCATGAAAGTCACTAGTCTGGGTTTTTCCTGAGGTGTTTATGCTGCTTCTCTTAGGACAATGAAATGTGCAAGTAGTGAACTTGTCCTTTTGAAGTGTTTATCCTATCCTGGTGCTGGGGGAGAGTAAGTCATGAGGAATGACATGAAGAATGAGTAAGTCAATGAGGAATCAATACTGGTGGTGATTCCAGGACCCCTTTCTAATACCAAAGCCTGGGGATGCTCAAGTCCCTTATATAAAAGGGCATATATTTGCATATAATGTGTGTGTATTTTCTTGTGGTATTTTAATCATCTCTAGATTACAACACTTAATGCAATGTAAGTGCTACATAAATAATTGTTATGTTTTTGGGGAATTATAATAAGAAAGAAAAATGCTGCAGATTTTCAGTTACAGACATCTCTTATTCCCTCCTCCCACCAGTATTTTCAATTGTCCAAAGCAGAACCAGCTGATGGAAGTGAAAGCTGGTGGAAAACCCACTGTGGCTTAAGCTGGGAGGCAGAGGGCCAACTGTACTGGATATCTAGTTCTTACATGTGTGATATAAGTTAAGAAGTGGCATTTGTGAGTCTCACACTCCAGTTTAACCAGGAACTCTTGACTTAGGGCTACTCTGCAGTCCCAGGGGAAGTCAGTGATAGGGGAAGGGATGTAAGTGTCCAAACTTTACCAGAGTTACAAAACCAAGAAAAAAGTGCACATTTTTTCACACTGAAGAAAATGGTAAATATCATCATTGGCATGAAGAATGTGAAGTAATCCATATTACCCTGAAGTCTTTGAACTTGTGGTATGATTTATGACCAGATCGCTCTGTATGAAGGTATCTTTATTTCTGACAAAAGAACTGTGTTAATGGGAGGAGAGGTGACTGCTAGGATGACTAGCTTATTCGAGACTCTCATCCTGAAAGGACGACAGGCAGAAGGGTAAGTGGTACCATTTTGTTCCTGAGAACCATTACCCACAGAAAAAAAGTTTTAGTTTAGTATCAGTGTTCAATACAAAGGTTGAGACTGTTTTTTTGCTTTAGATTTCCAAGGTGTCCTAAATATAATGTGCACTTAATAAAAAAATGTATTGGTGAGAGTGTTACAATTTATTAAAATATCTAAAAATATGATAGAATTTAATACCCTTAAAAATGCTTTTCATAGATCGAGCCCTTGTCTACTGCTGGAGGGATGGAACAGGTGCTACCAGTGACACATTTTAAAGACCAGTTGTGAACTTCCATTACTCAAATTGAGATAGTGTGTTCATTCAGAGCTCATGCACTTATAAAAGTTTGATTAAATACTGACTCCAAATGTCTGTCCAGTAGGGCTTTGTACTTAATTTGTGTGGCAACAAATAGGGCATGACTATACCTGGATTATACAATTGCCATTGTGCTCATTTTAATTAAAATATATGTAATTTGCAAAAATAAAAAAATGGTGAGCTTTCAGTCAAAAACCCCCCCAACATTTCCTGATAGTTAACAGGTGGTTTCCTGGAACTGGTGGGGACTTGCCATTTGTATCTCTGCAGTCTCTGGCAGTGAGTGGATGGTCCTCCCAATCTTTCTCAGCCCTTGCTGTACATTGGAACCACATAGGAAACTTTGAGCAATGCCTAACCCTTTGGGTCTGCAGCTTTTCTTTTTTTCTCCTCTAGTCTTTAGCACTTGGCCTAGTAACTGTCATGTAATGAAGATTTAGTAAGTGTTTGTTGAATGAAAGAAGGATTGGGTAGATTAGTTGAATGCATCATTGCACTTGACAGTTTTGATTGAGCCACTTTTGCACCAGGAAACATTGTTTCTGCTTTTCAGAATTAGTTTTTGAAATAAAACCTTGTGTTTTCAGGGAATTCTGGGAGCCCATTAAGTGAAATAATCACTCAGGCAGACAGTTTACATAGTGTAAAAACCCCTTGATCCATCCATGTACTAATTAGTGCATTCACTCATTTATCAAATGCATTATGTCTGATTTGGGCCTGGTACTTTGTTAGGCATTGCAAGTGAAAGATGCTAGAGACTCATTCTCTGCCCTAGACAAGTTCACATAGGGCCTGGAAAGATGTGATCCAGAGCTGTGTGCTATAGGAACGCCCAGTAGAATACCAGCTTCAGAAGTTAGAAAGCAATTGTTTCCCCTACCCTTGTTTTCCTGCAAGTGTACAGCAAACATTTTACAGTGCTTAAAGGTTGCCTAGGACAGCAGTATCATTGCTTTCCAGCCTTGTGTCCAGGTAAAAGTGCGCTTGCCCTTGTCCTGCACCTGCATGTTGACCTTGAACAGGCCTGGAGCAGTCAACTCTGCAGCTTCCCAGAGGAGTGGTTTTGTGCTTTCATGGTTGCCCACAGAGATGATTTCTGGGCTCAGCAAATGACTTCGTGAGGCCCATAAGGAAAGATATCTACTTAGAAAAGACCATGTGATCTTTGTCTAACTCCCTAAATTTAGACCACCTACTCTATGCTGAGAAGAAGAAAATGAGCATTTGTTAGCAGTTACTTTCACAGCTCTTTGAATGTACTAATATTTTCTTTGGGGGCAGATATAGAAACCGAGGCTCAGAGAATGTAAGTAAGAGGTATCAAAGGACAAAATAACAAAAAATTAGTTATAGATATAAGTGGCTTTGTGATTCATTAATTGAAGCAGCCTCTATTCTTTCTACAAAATAGAGTGAGGGATTCCAGTGGGCAATGACAGTTTTGTAATGGGAGAACAAGAAGGTAATATCAGGTTATTTCAGGCTACTTACGTAGTTAGTTATTTTGTAAAGATTAATGCGGAGAGGACCTCCATATTATACTAATTTGGGTAGGATGGAATTTCCTGTTTTTAGGAAAATCTGGACTATTTGGAGGTCTACTTGCTTCCTGTGCATGAATTACTCAATTTTGGTTTGGTCTGGTCTACTGGGACCTAGTACAGGAGTTCTGTCTAACATAGTGACTTCCCATAAACCTTGGTTAAGACAAATAACTAGTCCAAAGTCACCTAGCTAGTCAATGAGGGTTTGGGTGACTCTAAGGTCATTTCATTCCCTATTACAAAATGAAGTTTGTTTTCAGAGAGACAAAGAGCTTTAAAACTTAAAGTAACTTTCACATTCACCTGGTCCAGTGGTTTCCAAATGTAGATTGGCTGTCCCTGCCACTTGGGGAGCTTACTAAATATGCAAAGGGTAGGTAAATAAATTTGCTTTTGAAAACAAAAATGTCAACTGCTGCTACTTCCATCATCTAAGGAAGAACAATTCCTATTAATTAATGTAGGACAATGGTGGCATTACCATTACCTCCTTTCACTGGTCAGGGGAGCTGACCAGTGAAACTTGGGTTGGTGGGGGGGGAATAGAAACCAAGCTAGATTGTTTGACCACATTGAAGAGAAGTATTTTGGACTTTCTGTAATTGATTTTGCTCTAAAAGACCTTTTGTTTCATATGGTTTTTGACTTATTTTAAGACATGCAAAATTTGCTGTAGACTTTAAGTAGATGAAGTACATTTTGAGGAGCAAGGTGTTTCGCTAGAAATCAACAGAACTTTGGGGAAATTAGGAATAGATTACTCAAGGGCAGAATAAAGAGGAGGCAGAAATTTGAAGTCTCATGAGAAGGAGAATTCTTAGTGGGAAGACTAGTGGGTAGGGGTGACCTTTAAGAACCGAAGATATTTGATTGCTTGTGCAATCTTTCTTTCTTAG